ACGGGTTTTCTATTTGTGATGCATGGTGAGTTATGGGAATATAAAAGATAATAGTGGGTAGAGAGATGGTGTTAAAAGGCGAGGCTGTAATTTGGGATTGAGGATAGCTGCAAAGTTGGGAGAACTTGTACTTGTGTGTTGGAAAAGAAGCTAGAGAACCTAGAAATACTAAAACAGAGCAAGTATAGACTCTACCAGCCCGGAAGTTAATGTGATAGAAGAGGGGTGTGATGGAGAAACAGCAGATTATAAGAAATATAACTTGATAGGGATTTTGAAAAGTGGAGAAACCGGTAAAAAGGAAGCAATAGTGATGCCACAATACTAGAAGAGGAGGAAAGGGAGACGGGGAGGAAGAGGAACCACTAAATCAGTGCAGAAAGGGGAAAAAGAGAAAGAGAACCAGGTAACAGCTAAGATGCAGTGGAGACCGGTTCAGATGCTCCAAGCGGAGCTCACGCGTGCACTTGCCGTGTGTCTCCTGTGCCACAGCCTGGGTGTCCACACAGGTCCCTTCTTGTCCGAGTTCCAGTCTGTTTCCATCCGGTCCCATGAATTTGCCCTTTTCCGTTTCCTCTTCTGCCAGCAGGCAGAGTCAGACTGGGAGGGAGGGTGTGCAGGGAGGGTGTGTGTGGCACCGTATGGAGGAGGCTTTGTTGGTTCTGGAGTGCCAGGCAGAGACTCTAGTGCCCTGGGAAGTGTGTGTGTGTTGCTGGGTGCCAGGAGGAGGCTCAAGTGGGCCAGGGCAACTGGCAGAGATTCAAGATGCCCTGGGGCAAGCACCAAGTGACAGGGAGATTGTGTTGCACAGGGGACCTGCTACAGACACCAGGTGGGAGCTCTGGTGGATCAGGGGCGCTCAGTGGAGCATGACTCGTGTGGTTTGCCAGGCTCCGGAGGGTCAGCGCACATGGGTAGATAGTGAAGCGGGCTTGAGGCACCTAGCAGATGTTCAGGTGGCCAGGGCCAGCCATGGGTGCCGGACAGACTCCTGCAGGTGCAAGACCAGCTCACGGTGCCAGGCAGATGTCCAGGTTGTCCCAGGGTGTTGAGTGAAGACTGAGGTGAGGCCAAGACTGATACAGGGTGCCACATGGAGACACCACGACGCCCAGGTAGGACGCTGGTTGCTGATGGAGACTTAAGCTGACCAGGGATACGAGGTCAACACTCGGGCAGGCTTGGAACCAGTACTGAGTGCCACACAGAGATTCTGGTTGCTGGGGGACTGGATTGGTATTTTGGATGGAGGATCCCTTGAGTCAGAGGGCCTCCGTGGAGACACCGTGTGCCTGCAAGCCATGTGGGGTGATACACGGAGGCGCTGATGGGCATGGGACCGACTTGAGGAATCAGGCAGAGACTCATGAAGACGTGAGATGCTTGCTGAGGACTCAGGTGGGTCCAGGACTGAGGCAGAGTGCCAGACCGAGATACCAGATAGCAGAGGGTAGGCGAGGGACAGTGGACCCCAAGTGGAAACTTTCATGGACGAGGTAGCGTGGCATAGAGTCTGTTTCTGCTTTTAGTGTCTAGTTGCATTCCGCCATGTTGTGAGAGCTCACTTTACATGGCTTCTGTTTAGAATTCGGGTCTTTCTTGTTGTTGTGAACGTAGTCTATGTTGCTGAATAATTCTTTGATTTTGAAGAGTGTGTGCTGAACTCGGCAGTTACGGGGTGAAGTGTTTCAAAATGCCCATTGAGTCCACTTGGAGGGTGAGATTGTTGACTTTGATGACAGTTATAGGTTTTTTGACCTCTCAATTACTCATGCAGGTATTTTGAAATCTTCAAAAATATTTGTGGATATGTGATTGTCCCTTCAGTTTCATGTTTTTGCCTCAGCCATTTGACGCTCTTTTCAGTGAAATGCAGAGGAAGAATTGTTAGTTTTTGTTGGAGAACTACCTACTGCATCATGCTTTGTTCAGTGTAACCTTTATTTTCATCAGGTATAGATTGAATAGTGTCAGATTAATTTAACTCTACCAGGTTTTGTTAAATCAACGCTAGACTAATGTATGCTTTCTTTGAAATTTTTATTCTGTGCTTTGAAATTAACCCTGTGTGTGTCATACTTTTAAAATAGTTGTGTACTTTTTCATTAACAAATGTAAACTAACAACATTAATAACTTAAAGTGTTTTTGCATTGAAGAATTCAGATGTTAAAACTGATCATTTTATTTCAACAACTTTTTTGTATGAAAACACTTCACATTGAATGCTGTGTTAATTTTCCATGATAAATTAAAACATTCTTAACTATTTCACAGTGTGTTTAAGAAGTGTCTTGAGTTTATTTCCCTTGCTCATATGAATTTCTATTTATACAGTACATATTTTCATCAGTTCTTTTTATGCAAAATGTAATTTTACTGACTTGATATAGGCTTGTTCTTTTTTTCTGATCTTTCATATTCTCTTAGTTGTTTGTGTAAATATCATATAAAGAAAGTATGTTTATTTCTTATTTCTGTTTGGTTGACTTCTGGTTACTTTAATCTTTTTAGTTTTTTTTCTCCATGCTTATTTTAATTGAGAACTTGTTTGATTCAATTACTTGTTGAGGAATTAAACTATAGGCTTGTCCAAAGTATTTTTCCTAATTTTCCGTGTTTGAAATGTCTGTTTACAAATCTCAAAACCCACTTTCAAATAAAATTGTTGTTTCAGACCCATTCCTGTGCGGTAGCGTATTCGCAAGTATTTTCCACCCCCTGTAAAATTTCCATCACCCATTTCACGTGACAGTAGCTTTACCAACCAAGCATATTTTTGATGTTACAACTTGAACATAATTTCTTGGTTAATACAAATAGAATCTATACTAATAAATTCTTTTCAGGTTTTCTCTGTCCTTGGCTAACTTCTGTTGTTGTTGTCCTAAGAAACAAGCAAAGCAAAACAAATTACAGAAGCGAAAGACAGCGTTTATTCTATATTTCCTTAACATTTTGTAGGCTTCAGGCTATTTACAGAAGTTCTCTTTATCAATCTCGTTCAGTTTTCATTAATGTGAAAATCACATCTGTCTCAGGAACAACAGCATAATGTATTTTATGAGAATTAGATTAAAGTCATTGGTCTGTAGCTTCCAGTTTACTCCAAAGTAGAGGAACGGCAGTGCAGCGTAGCAGCTGACCTGCTATTCGTTATGGTTTGTGTTAGATGCCCCTCTCAAAGCTTATGCAGATGAGGTGGGCTTTCTTTTTAAGAGGTAGTTTAATCTGGAACGTGTGATTACTAAGCCACTACATGTGAGTAATTAGTTTGGCACTGCCCTAATTCTGGTAGTCTGAATAAGATAAAAGGGGCAGAGAGATGCTGTTAAATCCTGCTCTTGCCTTTGCTCCTGTGTGGGCACCATGTTGTTCTTCCTCTGTGAAGTCTGTTTGGCATCCCTGTCTTGGAACCATCCTACTATGAACTAAAACCTCTCTGATGTGTAAGCGAAATAAACGCCTTCCCCTCCAACTTGGGTGTCAGGTACTTTGTCTCAGTAAAGGAGAGAAAAGTGACTAACACACTATTCTTACGTACATCTGCTAACTAGTTGTGTCTTTCCACAGTTCATTTCTTTTAAGTATTTCCTCAGACGAGATCATGGATCCTCTTTTATAGCAGTGTTTTCTCTTGTTTAGTATGTTTTGTTTTTTTTTTCTATGTGTTCATCAATTTTTATACTCTGTCTACAAACCATGTTTATTGTACGCACTGCAAAATTTTTAAATTTCTTGTCTGTTTTACACCTTTTGATTTGTCCCTGTATTTCTGAGGACTTCTGAATTTTTTATTGAGGAAACACTTTTGCACTTCGACAATGTATTTGTCTGATTTCTCAAAGTATTCAAGTTCATATTTTCATGTGAAGATGTAATGTAATTATTGTTCATGGAATATGGAGAATAAAGTGCATGTGTTGATATATGTACCTATTTCTTCCTGTGTCTGTATTCAACAGATTGTGATTTTTGTGACTTTGTACAATAACAGCTCCGTCATGAGTCAGTATTCAGTTTACAGATGAGCCACTGAAGGCTGTCTTCACCTTCTGTGATCTGTGTGTCATTCACTCTGCTAATAGTACAGTGCCCAAAATATCTAATTTTTTATTTCTTTCTTATATATTAGCCAAACTGTCACCATCCTGCTTGTTGGGAATTGAACATTATTTAACATTTTTACACTGAGCATATATAATTTGACTGACGTAACAAAAACTTGATTGGGAATTGATAAATTTTTTCTTTAATTTTTCCATTATTAGTGAGTTTTGCAAAATTTGGTGTCAGTACTTATCCTATGTCTATTTTGATCGTATCCATCCACTCCATTGCTCTCCCTTCCACCACCTAGAATTTTTTTGTAGCCCTGTGATTATTGACGACTTGGTGTCATTGAGACACAAGATAACATACTTTCCCTAATTTAAATACATTGTCATTGGACATTCTGAATTAAATGTCTTTCATTGGCATTGAATTTCAATTTATCATTCATGAATTTTACTTAGTGTCCAATTAAGGTTTAGCCTATGAAACCAAGTTCAGGGTTCCCAATATTGTCTGAATAAAATCAGAGAAGGAAAGGATCCATTTCCCAAGTGACAAGTTGAGAAAAGAGATATTCTCTGTGTTGGCAGAATAATCCATTAGATACTCATCTACCTTGGTTATTATTTGGATGTTGATTTTTGATAAGCTCCCTCTATGACCCGTGTTTCATAGACAGTGTACAAATAAAACTGGATCTAACCAGCAGGAAAACGAGTGCTCCCATTCTGCTGTGGCTTTAGCAAGGACTTCAATCTAGCATCAGATTTCCTATGCGTTGTTTGCATATTGCAGAGTTTAAGTGTTGGAAAATAAGTGTTGATGACCAAAGCATGGAGCAGACTTTTGAAGGACTCAACACCGTTTCAGCTGTTTATGAGTGGAGTTGAAATGTGCTCTGCTCGAGACTCTGTCTTATTCCTGGAAATATGTGTGATGGTTTAGGAGGAAGTGATGTTTGAGGATGTGGCTGTGGACTTCACTTTGGAGGAATGGGCTCTGCTGGATCCATCCCAAAAGAAGCTCTACAGAGACGTGATGTCAGAAACACTGAGGAACATGTCTGCTATAGGTAAGGAAGATAGTCATTTTCTAATTTGTATATGTAGAGAGTGCTGCTTCTTATTGATTGGTAAAATTTCATTCATTAGATTATGAGTGCATTTTGATGAATATTCCTGATGTTTTTAAATAATGCCATAATATTTCAGTGGACCCTTGAGTGATGACCAGCCTGACATAGTAACACCTTGGGTCGTGCCTGGAATTTTAGTTGTAACTTAGGAACAAAGTCTAGCGTTCTGACCCAAATGACTGCTTCTTGTGATAACAGAAGGACTCGGGTACGGTATTAACCCTTAAAGAGTTCTCATAGGAACATTACAAGGTTCTTTCCTGTGTGTTTTTAGTTGAGAAATCCTAGGCCAGTATCTCTCTAAAGACAGTGTAATCTGCCTGTATAAGGTAGAGAGACTTTGAAGGCTAGGTACAACCTTCAGTTGACCATTTTGAGGTAAAACCGGCCCTCACCAACGAATTGATTTCACCACTTAAATGTCCACTGGAACTGAAACCCATTACATTTTACTTAATAACATAGTAACTCATCATAATATTTCTGTTTCTACACTTCCACAGAAACCTTGACTGACCAGCTAATTGAAAATAGGAGCACATTTTGGAGAAGAAACCTAAGGTAATTTGCACTCGCAAAGAAGAATAATAGTCCTCAGGAGTCAGGGAATCAGTAGAAATTTGTTTCGTGCTCAAGCTTATAAAAATGTTTGACATTAAATCTAAGCATTGGATATAAGTATAGATGAAATAAGTTACAGGTTTAGGCTAGGACCCAAGTGCAGGCCGTTAATTGTGTGTTCATGTGAGTTTTTTCTAAAGCCCCCTTTCATATCAAACAATTTATTTAAGAAATGCTATCTGGGGCCGGGGATTTAGCTCAGTGGTTCTGGCACCTGCCTCACAAGTGCAAAGGTGTGAGTTCGATCCCCAGTACCAAAAAAAAGAGAAATGCTATCAATATTTGAATGTGGTATCCACATTCAATATTTGCAAATTTGCTAACCTTGTGAAAAATTGAAATGAATCCCATTGTTTTGATGAGTGGTTTTCAGTCAGTTTTGCCAAAGTTTTTAGTCTGTTCTTGTTCCAAAATTAGTAAAAGACGTTTTCCTATATGGTCACTTGGAATGTCACATAGTGCAGTCTCTATGGAAATGTCAATAAGAGATTCCACAAAATATTAAAAACAGAGCTTTCAGGGGCCAGGAATTTAGCTCATTGCAGCCATATCTGATTTGTAAGCACAAGGTCCTGAGTTTGATCCCCAGGACCAGGAAAAAAAAAAAAGCAAAAGCAAAACCAGCTTTCATCCAATCCAGGTAAACTGTGCTATAGTTAAACAGTCATATCATAGTGATACATGCGTATCCTTGTTTGTAGCAGCACACCTCACAATAGCTAAGATTGGCAAACAAGCCAGATGCCCATCCACAGAGGAGTGAGCTCAAACCATGAGGGTTCCAGCGATGACGGTTCCTGTTTAGAATCTTAGCACTGTGGGAGGCTGAAGCAGAAAGATCACGCTCTCATGCTTATCTCATATCTAATGAGAGTTCTTCACAAAATAGAAAAAATAAATAAGGCTGTGAGTGCAGCTTGGTGCTAAGACCCTGGGTGGAATCACCAGTACTGAAAAAAATGAGGTGTGTATACTTAATGGAATTGTATTCAGTTAACATGAATGGATTAGTTAACATGAATGTCATTTTCTAAAAAATAGATGGTTTGCAAGCCTGTGGTAGTAAGTGAAATAATTAAGACTTGGAAAGTTCAGTATCCCATGAAATAGATTCTCTGAGAAATCCAAAATATGAATTAAGGAGCAAAATACAGGAGAGATGGTTGAAAAAAGAAAAGCAGATGTTTCATATGGGGTAAAGATGTTCAGTGGAAGGGAACTTCAGTAGTGTCCTGGTGGAAAGAGTATCAAATCTAAATATAAATATATAATTCACATGTATATTAATTTTCCAACATGAAAGTTAATGTTATCTACTATAAACGCATCAGTTTTCAGCTCCCAGATGAATACCAGTGTTGTATTGAAAGCTGTTTTCAAGCCATCCTTTCCAGTTCAATACCAGATCTGGAAAATCCTTAATAAGGAGTCACTTTTACATGTGATAGTTGTTCTATTCTTTTTAAATGTGATTCTTGTTTTTTCTTTTATAGAAGTGAAGATGTAGAGAAATGTTACCGGTATAAAATATGGAATCCACATAAAGAAGAGTGTTTTTGGACTTCAGACCCTAATGTTACCATGAAAACACTTGGTACACAACCAGCTGAAGGTTTTGCTTATAGAAATTATCTGATAGGTCAGGCATCAGCGAACGTACCCATCAGAGCTCACAAATCATGTGAGTGTCCGGTATTGGAAGTGAAGCTGTCTACGTGTAATGAACATCAGGAAACCTGCAGTAATTTCCAGTCCTTTCAGAAACATGAAGCAACAAAAGCTGGAAAGAAACCCCATGAATATGAGCGCTGTGGGAAATCCTACTCTGATCGCAGTGAACGAAGTCGCACTGGAGAGAAGCCCTTGGTACCTAAAGAAAAAGATAAAGTCTATATATGTAAGCAGTGTGACAAATCTTTCAGAAGTAAATCCTATTATAAAATCCATGAAAGAACACACACTGGGGAGAAACCCTATATATGCAAGCAGTGTGGGAAAGCTTTCATCAGCAACAGCAATTATAAAAAACATGAAAGAATTCACACTGGGGAGAAGCCCTATGCGTGTAAGCAATGTGGGAGAGCCTTCAGGAAAAAGATTCATTGTCAGATACATGAAAGGACTCACACTGGAGAGAAACCTTATGTATGCAAGCGATGTGGAAAAGCTTTCATCACACAAACCAATTGTAAAAACCATGAAAGAACTCACACTGGAGAAAAACCTTATGTATGTATGCAATGTGGGAAAGCATTCATGACACAAAGCAGTTGTAAAACCCACGAAAGGACTCACACTGGAGAGAGACCTTATGTATGTAGGCAGTGTGGGAAAGATTTTATCGCACGATGTAATTGTAAAGAACATAAAAGAAATCACTGTGGAGAAAAACCCTACGTGTGTAAGCACTGTGGGAAAGCTTTCACCACTCACAGTTATTGTCAGACCCACGAAAGAATTCACACGGGGGAGAAGCCGTACGTTTGTAAGCAGTGTGAGAAAACATTTGTCACTCACAGGTCTTGTCAAATCCATGAGAAATCTCACGCTGGGGAGAAGCCCTGTGTATGTAAGCAGTGTGGAAAAGCATTCACCACTCATAGTTCTTGTCAAATCCATGAGAAATCTCACGCTGGGGAGAAGCCTTATGTATGTAAGCAATGTGGAAAAGCATTTACCTCTCAACGTTATTGTCAAACCCATGAAAAAGCTCACACTGGACAGAAACCCTATGTTTGTAAGCAGTGTGGGAAATCTTTCATCTCTCACAGTCAGCATCAAATACATGAAAGAAGTCACACTGGGGAGAAGCCTTATGTATGTAAACAGTGTGGGAAAGCCTTTCCCACTCAAAATGGTTGTCTAACACATGAAAGAAGTCACACTGGAGAGAAGCCTTTTCTGTGTAAGCAGCGTGGGAAAGCCTTTCCTACTAGCGGTTCATTTGGTCGACACAAAGTGAGTCACCCTGGTGAGAAACCCTATGTATGTGATCAGTGTGGGAAAGCTTTTCCTTATCACAGTTCATTCTATAAACATCAAAGAATGCACTGTAGAAGTCGTGTGCATGTAAGCAGTGATTGAAAGCTTTCACCAGTCACATTGATTTCTGAAGATATAAAAATAGTCACACTGGAGAGAAACCTTAGGTGGAATATGTGAGAGCATTTTGTGTTTCCCATAATTTCAGAAAACATGAACAGTCACAGAGTAAGTATGAATAATGTGGGAAGTCTTCATTTATACGTGATTTTTTACACACACATTGCATTGTGGAGAAACCGTATCAATGCCTATTGTTTGGGAATACTGCTAGTCGTTATCCTTAATATATATTTTATGTGAATACCTCTAGTCGTTTTGGTTTTATTCACAGAGCACATGAACACAGTACAGTGACAAGCCATCTGTATACAGGAAGTATACAAGTAATGAAGCAGATTGTGTCAAAGCCCCGTGAGTGTGCAAGGTTCTCAATTATAAGTCATCAACATCTTTGGAACATTTCTCATGTGCAAATTCATACAAGTAAATTGACAATGTGATGTCAGTTATTTGTGTAAAATTCTGCAGAAAGCGTACAACCAAAGGAGGTATCCTAGAGGCTAAATGTAGTGTGTACACCTGTAACTCATAGTTTTTTTGGTGGTTGTTTTTGTTTTTTGGTACTGGGGATCAAACTCGGGTCCTTGCACTTGCAAGGCAGGTGCCAGAACCGCTGAGCTAAATCCCCGGCCCTCATTTTTTTTTTGTTTGTTTTTTAGTATTGCACTCAAACTCGGGGGCGGGGGGTGGAATAAAATAAAATTTATTTTTTAAATGTAATTTCCATTTTGCCTTTACTGTTGAAGGTGGGGAATTCCCAGATATGTTCTCTCAATCCAGATGTGTTCAAACCTAGTTTCTCTTTTCTGAAATTCTTTGCTACCGTGTTCTTAATCATTGACATGATAAGTTATATGACTTATTAATGTGATTTTTTGATTTGTACATTTTTCTTAGTTTTACTACATTTTGGGTTTTAATGGAGATATTTTGGGTTTGTAAATCAGAAAGAATTCTGGTTTTGCCTGTTGATATGATGAGCCATGGAATGAGATTTCTGTAGAAAACTATTAAACTATTCTGGTAGATTTAGTAATACATGATAGTAGAAGCTCTAGTTGGAGTCTTAATTGCCCCTTTTTTGGTCCCCCACCCAGGCCCTTGATACCTATTTTAGAATAGCAATTACCACTCTTAAGGGGAGGTATGTGAATGTAGTTCTTTTTAACCCTGGCCTTAGTTAAATGGACTTCAGTTGTCTTCTGGATTGGTTCCCTTGGAGGGCCTGGCCCTATCTGCCCGTATTTAATTAACTTTGTGGTCTACAACATGCCCTCCTCTGAAGAAGTGTGGGCAAACTGCAGTTAGAGGGAAAAGGGCCTGGTTTTCACCCAACTCCTTCTACTGAGAAGAGTCTACGTAAAAGAGACAACAGTCAGGGTCCTCTCCAGAGAGCTAATCTGGTGGGACTCAGAAGTTATGCTGTAGTTTAGTTGTTACGAACTTCTTCCCGTAGCAGTCTGGCGGGTCCTGGTTGTCGGTTTCATGTGCATGGTCACTTGGAGTTTGGCAGCCTCTCGGCAAGAATAAAGAAAGTTTTTAAAGAAATGAGAGCACTTATAATTAAAATGTGAACGCTAGAATGGAAAGGCAGGTTGAGGAAAGGGAGCGATGTTTAGAAACTGTTCTCAAAGGACTGGAATGCTGATTGTAACCCGCTGGCTCCTAGATCCCTTTGATAATGGAGGTTATCTATAAGTGTGATATTTTGTCATAATTCTAGGGTTTTTTGGTGGGTTTGAAAGACAATTTTAGCTAAGAAATTTAAAAACTCTTGTTGAGTTCTTGTCCATTTTACTGTAGTAGATTTTTTTTCTTAACAAATACACAGTGGTCAGCTAGCAGTTTAGCTGGAAACTGCCAGAAAGGGTCAGCGGTTGAAGCCCCTTTTTATATCTAGCTTTGTTACTGTAGTATTTACTTGAGATATCATTTAGTTATCCTTTTCTACTGGGTGTTTAAGATCAAGGTGAAGTGAGACTAGTGTTAATTAAAATTAAGCTCCAGCTGTCTGTCAAGTTCACTGTCCCGAGACAGTTAAGTCATGGCCTTGCTTGGCCATGTGGCTTTCTGTAGAAGCACGGAAGACTTTTTCCTCTTGGTGACCCTCCTTTGGCGTACTGATTCTGTTTTCTGAGGCCCAGCAGTCTCCCTGCTGGGGAGGTTGGGTGTTTCACCAAAATTGTAGGATCCTCTAGAAAAGGTTCCCTCATGTCCTGCGTCCATGTTGATCTTGGAGGTCCAGGGCCAAAATATTGCCTGTCCTCTAAGCCTAGTTACCTTTCTAGTTCTGGTCTCCAGATTTTAGTTGTTGAATACTCAGAAGGGAACATCAGTGACGTTAGTTTCACAGCAGGTAGCAGTGAGCTTAACCATTATAATTTTATCTGGATATTAAACACTTTGAAATAGAAAATGTAGCCAGAGGAGGATTTTTTTTTTTTGAGTAGTCAAATCCCTGTAGAATGTTAACAGACAACAGTCATATAACTTTACAGTTATGTTGGCTGGTGCTCCTCAAAGAAATCCTGGTACTCGCTTCATTTTTCCATAGTGAATTTATCACATTTCTGTGAAACCCCTCCTGTCTTCCTCTTCTTTAGTGGGTTGCTCCCCAGCAGGAGCCTTCTGCTGCTCATGCTGGAGTTCAGCAAGTTCTTCTGTCTTCAGCATCTCCTTACGGTCCTGTATGGCTGCATAGTCTCTACGTCAGCCTCCTGCAGGCTGAGTCTAAGGTCCGGTGTACGCCATCTCCCCAGGCTTTGTCAATGAGGATAATGCAGCGGAGGACAAACAGAGAAGATTCTTCCAGGAATCTTGCAGTCAAGGACGTCTCTTCGGTGACAGTGAAACAGCTGGTGAAGAGCGCCTTTGTGTAGAACTTCTTCAAGTTGCAGATCCTTTGCTGGTCCGTGGGCTGCAGAAAAGGGGACATTTTGGGGGGAGAAAGAACTTGACATTGACATCCACATCGGCTCTCAAGGCTGACGGTGTACCAGGGCATTGCAATCAGGAGGCACCTAGCAGGCAGGAGATTGTCAGAAAGATACTAACAGCGAGTGAGGACGTACCGTGCACCATTCCATGAACTGCCTTGTGACCCATGCTTTGGCATTGGCTTACAGTGACAGGCAGTGTGGCCTTGCTCACGTTCTGGCCTTTGAATGCACAGGAGTCTGAGTTATGATTTACAGGTAGTAGCTGAATCTTCAGGTTGGCTCTTTCATTCACCTATCCATAGCAAAAGGGTCATTGTGTCCTTCGTGGGCTTGTGCCGAGCTGGGCCTTTTCCTCCTGAGTCATAAAGATTCTTTTCAGCAACTTCTTCCCAAAAGAGCCCTGTTTCATCACAGTTGAACACTTGTTGAGTGATATATATATTTCTGCCTTCATGAATTTTGTGAAATCTTTCTTGTAGGCTTCTGCAGTGGCCTTGTGAGAAAGAAAAGCCCCACCGTATCTTATTACACTGCGGATCCCTGCAGAGTTGATCAAACCACATTCTACTGGCTTCCAATTTATTACCGGTTTGTACTTGTAGAGAGGTTTCCTTGCAGTAATCACCATGCAATTTCCTGGAGTTTTCTTAGATCATAGCTCTACCGGACAGCTGCTTTTCATTCAAGGACACTACCAAAAATTCTCTTCCTGCCCTTGTGTCCTCTGTTTGGCTAACACTGTTACTCCTTTTCCCACATCACCTCTTCGGATGGCATCTTTGTTCTTCAAAACAGTCAAGATTTTCAACTTCACCATCTTGTACTTCGAGGCCAGATCGGTCACGTAAACACCATGTTCGTGATTTTCTACAGTTGCCTTTTCAATTCAATGGATATTGTTTTCAAAACCCTTTTCTTACCGTTCTTGCCCTGTGCTCCTCGTTACCTCATTACTGCTCTGCGGGTTCTTGGGACCTTCTTTAGCTGTCTCCGCTGTTCTTACCCCCTGCTTGGTCTGCCCTTTCTTTGGAGCCGTGCTGGAGTGAATAATACTGCTCAGTACCGTGTTGCTTAAAAGCCTCCCAGCAAGCGTTCACAGGTCTACGACCACGATCTCGACCAGGGGACGCCATGCCCGTGCGTCAGAGCAAGGAGGATGGCCACAGCTTGTTCATCACTGGATGCGGAGTTTGCAAACGGAAGCACAATTTTGCTGAACTAGTCTGTGCGCAAGCCAGGTGTTTTGTGAGCAGCAGCAGTCACGGGCGTAGATATTATGGTAAAATGACTTCTGAGGTCACCACGCCCTGCCGCATTAAACCCTCTGAACCATAGCCAACATCTGTCACATAAGACAGAAAGATAATCAGAAAGACGGTTGAAAAGGCCACCAGGAGAGGCCCAGAATCTGCCCAGAGTGGTGGCAGGTTTCGCCTCAGAGTCAGCCCAGTGCAGTAGATGCATGGATTCAGTTCTCCCTCCTCCTGCCCGATGCTTTGGTCTCAGCACGCCCCTGCACCTTCACTGACCTCCCGTAGTCTTGTGCCCAAGTCGCGAAGTCCCCGAAGACCACCGAGGAGTCAGGTCCGGTGCAATTCCACGAGGAGTTTATTGCAAGCTCGAGCCTGGACCCTCGTACTTCACCGACTGAGCGGATCAGAAAACGAGAGTCCAGACCCTTCTTTGCAGCAGGATTATATAGGGTCAGGGAGGCTCTCCCTTTTTATTGATGCTATTTTTACCTTTTGATTACACTTGGATATTTGCGGTATTTACTGGACTAGGAGGGGTACTGGGAGGGCACTTGCTGGAACTGGGAGGATACTTAGGAAAATTACTAATACCTATATTCCCAGAATCAAGTTCCCTTTTTTCAGAGAACACTTGATTAATCAAATTCTATAATTAACAGACCATGTGATCATCTTAAGCAACTATCGGGAAGAAGATTCATCCTTGGGCCGTAAAAAGAGGAACCGAAACACAGGGTGGAGGTAGCCTAGGACAGAGCTGCTAGAAGTCACAGAGATCTGCAAAAAAGTCTACATGGCAAAGGGCACAGAGGGAGCTATCTTGAGCTGCACATAGGGCAAAGGGGGAGCCCACCTTGATAAAAAAACTTGGTCTCTATAGTAGCTGACTGCTGTCAACCCCACTCTTAAATTCTCTGTTTAGCAGTATGTGTGTTAAATATGAGAATTCTTTATTTGGTGAGGGTGGAAAAAATCCATACCTGCATCGGATTCCCTGTTCTTATGGCTTGGGTCTAGAAGTCCCCTAAAGCTTCATGAGGTCACAGGCTTGTCTAGAACAGGCGAAGCTAGAGCTGAGCTGATTCGTGATGCAGTTCTGGTCTCGAGGGCACTACGATTAAGGGTGTGGCTGCCGCCCGCCCTGAGTAGTCTGAACAAGATAAAAAGGGCAGGGAGATGCTGCTGTTCAGTTCCTCTCCTTGCCTTTGGCACCTCTTTGGTGCCGTATTGTTTCCCCTGTGTGCCGCTTGTTTGCCATTCCAGCCTCACCACCAGCCCGTTATGAGCTGAAACCGCTGTGAACTGTGCGTCAAATAAACCCCTTCCCTTTTAACTTTGGATGTCAGGTACCAGGGAGATGCTGTTCAGTTCCTCTCCTTGCCTTTGGCACCTCTTTGGTGCCGTATTGTTTCCCCTGTGTGCCGCTTGTTTGCCATTCCAGCCTCACCACCAGCCCGTTATGAGCTGAAACCGCTGTGAACTGTGCGTCAAATAAACCCCTTCCCTTTTAACTTTGGATGTCAGGTATTTTATCTGAGCAACAAGAGAAAAGTAACTCACACGCCTAGAAAACACTTAGGAATTGAGTGACCCTGTTTAAAAACACGAGCTGACCATGACTCCATTTTCCTACACGGCATGTAGGGTTAGATTTCTTTTTCTTTCTTTCTTTCTTTCTTTCTTTCTTTTTTTTTTTTTTTTTATTTTTTTTTGTTGTCTTTTGAGACAGGGTCTCACTGTACTTGAGACTGACCTGACCTAGAATTCACTGTGTAGCCCAGGCTGGTCTCAAACTCCCAGGCTAGGTAGCAACGAGCCACTGCTCCGTCGTGTGAAGGATGAGGGCAAACAGCCGGTGATTTATAGTGCACTGCAGCCCAAAAGCTCAGGAGGTCTTAGCTTTTCATTATGAAGTGGGCTTTGTATTCTACACAGTTTCACCGGTACAGATGAAAGAAATTGTGTTAACTGGTTTAAAGGAGCTGAAGCTCAGCAATAATGTTCCCTAGAGTACGTATATTTAGTGCATTTTCAATACATTTTATTTTCAACTGCCTTTCGGTTTATCAAGGTAATTTTCGTTTCTAACAAACGGAATCTGTAGAATTATTTCTTCACCTTTTGTTAAGGTGCTTCTCTCTAGAATATGAAACTCAGGGGATCGTTTGCTTGGTTGCCTTGAAAATGCTGCATTCTTGACATTGTCTTAGAAACTGAACAGAAAAACCGTCAAGAACAATGTTTGGACAACAGACCTCTACTCTCAGGTTTGTTTCTGTTTTTGTTTTATTTTGGTCTTTTGTGGACAGATACACTTGTCTGGTCATCCTGTATATGTGAAAGTAAGCATCACCAACATAGGATAAAAATTTTTCAGTAAAGACATAGGCCTGAGAAGTCTGACAGGAGACAGCAATGCTGAAAAGAAAATGCTTTCCTTCCTACTTCTAATTAATACTGATTCTGGGGACCAATGAGACTTACTTCACCTTGGGCTATCACCTGTATTTCTTCTGTTCTGGGATGCTGAATTCCTGTGCCTCACCTCTTCATTTTTCTTTGTTGGCTGAAGTTTTGTCTGACCAGCACTGTTGCCTCTAAGACTTGGGGCACTTTTCCTTGTGCAGTGCCTTATAGCTCTCTGGAGATCATCAATTGTTGTGTGTTTCATAAGTCACGGGAGGGCTGGGGATTTAGCTCAGTGGTGCCACTTCCTGCCTCGCAAGCTCAAGGTCCCGAGTTCGATCCCTGGTACCAAAAAACAAAAACAAGCAAAAATCACCGGAAACTGCAATCCCTGAACCCACCGAGTCACCCTGGATTCCCCACATGCTGAAGGCCACCCGCTCATGTTAGGGCCTGGAGAAGCCCAAGGAAATGGCCCGTGGAGAACGGCACAGCTGAGATAAAGCGCAGAGCTATATTTACCTTAGAACACAACACTGCTTTGACACTATTGGCACCCAGCTCCTAAACCCACCTGCCCCTGTCTTGATGTCATGGGGCTAAAGCCTTCCGTCCAGCCCTGCCTCCACCAAGCCTGGGAGTTCCTCACCCTTGCGCGGAAGCTGTGCTTGCGCTGGGTAGAGAGGGTTTGTGGCCAATCTTTGTTATGGGATCCGAAAGGAGCTGTAAACTGAATTGCTCGTCAGTCCACCTAGATTCCCAGCAGGCTTCCTTGGTGGCTGTCTGGAGGAGGCCACGGGAACAGCATGTGGGGAGGTGCACAGCAGAGAGAAAGCGCGGCATCAGTGGAAAGCCACCCTCATCAGCCTCCTCCGGGCTGTGTGTGTCACTGGAAAGAATCAGACGGAGGAATCTCTCTGGCCTTTTCCCACTGGCCACATTCTGTAGTGCAGTCCGTACGGGGTAGGACACGCAGGCTGCTGGTGCAGGGCAGAGTTCACATAATGTCAGAAGGATCCTTCCAGGTTTGGAAGCAGCCTGGTAGTTTTGCCCATTGCAGGTGTCCCTTCATTCTGCCAGCCCAGGTGGATCACATAGCGGCAAGTTCTGCGGTTTTCATGCACATGGAATGGTGAGGGATCCACCAGTACACAGAGAAAGTGAACAATTTGCATTTGATTCGATGCCTCTGTACAGTTTGTCCTGTAGAAACGTCTCATGGCATCTTTGTATTCCAACAAGTAATAATCTTGATGTTTTAACTCCATATTCAGTATGTTAGAGTTGTCCTTTTCTACTTATTGAACAAGTACTGAAAGAAACCCTTCCCTGGTTTCAGTTGAAAGACTTGACAGGAGCACATGTTGTCAGACACAATCTTCAGAGAAGACGAAAGTACGCAACACACGTGTAAATGTTATTGGGAGCTGCGTCTCCGCAAGGATTCTTGGTGGTTACCGTCGATTGTTCCTTAAAAGTGATTCTGAGAAGCCAGGTGTTGCTGTGAAATGTATACACATGAGGGACTCTGTGAAGAATAATCCCAGAGAAAACTCACATAGTCTTCCATGAAAGCGTTCATTCGACTGGCATTTTATTTTGTGTAGACACAAAATATCCATTGTATTTGTTTTCTTGTTGGCATCTGTAGTACCCGACACGCAGAACTTAAGAATGAAAATTCTGTTTTGTCTCATGGTTCCGAGGTGGAAGTCTGTTGTCATTTGTCGCCTAAGGAGAATTGCCAGTATGAAGGAAATCAACCGCTAAGGAAAGGAGAGCCAGAAATCACAGGGCAGAACAGCTGCCTGTGAAAGGGGGAGAAACAGTGTGTGGTCTCTGATGTCAAAACCCGACAACTCGGGCTGGGGATTCAGCTCAGCGGTGCTGCCGCCTGCCTCGCAAGCACAAGGTCCTGAGTTTGATCCCAGGTACCCCCCCCAAAAAAAATTCAAAACCCAACAACGCAATCTGTCACAGAAGTGTGCTGCGCTATTATCCTACACACTGCTCCAGGCAAACAAGATACCAGTCAAGAGACCTTCGTGTCTCCAGGAGCCGTGCTCCTTGTGGAAGTACAGTGTGTTGGAAGATAGGGCACTTTCATCTGTGAGGAGACGACTGCAGGGCGTGGGGACCCTCAATGCTGAGGTCCTTGGGTGTTTCCACTGCCTCACCAGTGATCTGTTGTAGGGTTGGACTTCAGCAACCATTCTGGCCCTCTGGCTAGGGAACATGTTCTTGTCAGAATCCACATTTTGATCGTTCCACTTGGTAACAGTTTGCCAGGGCTGGGAATTTAGTTCAGTGGCACCGTGCCGGCCTGGTAAGCAAAAGGACCTGAGTTCAATCCCCAGTCCAGGTGGTGGGGGGGAAAGTTTTCTAGCCTGATTTAGATGAAATGTTTGAAATGTTTTGTTTTGGCAGGTTTGCAAAAATATTGGTGGTGTTGTGCCCAGATCGCGATATCCCCAAAGACCACCAAGGAGTCGAGTCCGATGAAACCACACGAGTAGTTTATTGCAAGCTCGAGCCTGGACCCTCGGATCTCACCGACACAGCAGTTCTGAAAGGAGAGCCCCCAGCTCGATTTCAGACAGCCTTTTTATTAGCAGAGAAGCAGAACTAGGGACTTTCTAAACGGGGTCAATGCTTAATTGGTTAACATTTTGCAAGTGCGGGTGTGTTTTCGCAATGCTCGATTGGCCCAGGCCAGATGTCCCTCCTTGTCCTAACCACAAGTTTTTGTAAGATGAACAAAAGAGCACATCTGGTGACAACTTATGGAAACAGTCATGGGTTTTTCCAAGAACTGGGTAAAAGGGCGCGTTGGGGTTTTTCCAGTAACTGGGCAGCGACCTGATCGCAAAATAGAGTTTAGCAAAATGGAGTCAGTTTGATGTCCACAGTGTAGTTTACCTGAAGTTTCTTCATTTCTTCAAAAATTATATTCCTTTTTTTTTTTTTGGATACATCTATTTTCTTGGCTAAAACGAGTACATTGAGAGAACCATTGTGACAAAAACATGTCCAGGAAGCCAGGTGGCTGACAGGAAGTTTCTGACCATGCTTGACATCGGCCCCTCCCTCTACTCCCTTGTGCTCAGACCCTGGCTGGATCCCTCACAACTGTGACTTCTCCGCGGTGTGGTGATTCTGGCATTATTCTAGTACACTTTTGACCCCATGCTGAGGGGCGAGTCAAAGGAAGAACCCTCGGAGTCCCTTAAGAAGACAGGATATTCAGGCGTGTTGGTGCATAGCTCTGATGCCAGCACTGGGGAGGCTGATGCAGGAAGCTCACAGCTAGCTCAAAGGCAGCCTGGGTATGTGGCGAGTTCAACAACAGCCGAAACTACACGACCAGGCTATACCTAAAAGAAAAAAACTCTTCAGTGGAAGATCTGAAAATTCAGGAGCAAGCTCTGCTTATATTCAGTGATCCTTCCAGTTAAGGGAGGCGGACTTCTTGGAGTCACAGTCATTTAGTGGCTCAGGTCGCTCAGGCAGCGGTTTGTCTCAGCTGTCGCTCTCAGCGCAGCGGATTGGCTGCGGAACGGCAGCCAATCACTGACTAAAGGGCGGGCATTATGACCTGTCCAATCAGAGGGAAGCAGGAAGTAGGGCCGGTGTCATGGCGTCCACTCGTTCCCCCCGAGTGCTCTGCTGAGGTCTACACCACCTGTCTAGACCGCGTTACTCCATAGCTTCTACGGGCTCTGTGCTGGCTGCGTGTGAAGGACTCCGGGAGACTTTCAAGGCACAAAATGGTGATGGTGAAAAATGGGACGGGATGGGTGGTGAGGTTTCGCTGCAAGTGGCCGGAACCAGTGACACACTGGGGTCTGCCCGTGTAGTGCAGTCTGAGGTCCTCTTGGTCTCCCAGCACTAGGTACCCGCTGTCGCAACTCTCTGGGGTTGGGACTACTGCACCTGAGTCCCCAGCATTCTGTCTCCCGCTGCGATCCCACCAGCCCAGAGAGCAGGTTTAAAAGCCCCATCCCCCAGTCAGGGGAGTTTGAGTCGTGAGAAGTCCCTAATTCAGGGTGAGGGGTTGAACTGGGGGAACTCTAGTGTGCTGGTTCCCTGGAGTTATTTCTCTCTCCAGCACACCTGGAGGAACTGAATTTTATAAATGTTTCATGCAGGGTCTCGAACCCAAAGCTTCATTCCTTGAGCAAAAGGGCTTTTTGATCATAGTGATTTCCTAAATTGGCAGTACATCACCACATTGCCAACATCCTGATAGCTGTTGAGAAAGGCCATGAAAATCCAAAGAAATATTTACCATTGGAGGCGGCAATGCACCTCTTTCACAGAGCACTTGCCAAGCATGCCCTTAATTAATGTGTTAGCCACCGAGCAATGAAAAAATTTATCCCCGTAATGTTTTTGGTGTCACCTCTGCTCACAAATAAGCCATTTAAGTGAAGTCTTCCCGTGGCATTTAGAATACTGAGAAAAGGGCTGGGGATGTAGTTCAGTGGCACAGCACCTGCCTGGCCTGCTTTTGATCGCCGGTACCGAAAAAAAAAAAAAAAAAAAAAAAGAAGAACGCTGACAGTATGTTAACGAGAGCTGCTGAAAGTGTCCCTGCTAAGGAGAACTCCCAAAAGGCTTTGCAAGTTACCACACTCGAAGAAAGACTTTGAAGCCGGGTGTCTACATGGACTTATGATGTGGTAGGCATGGAAAAGGAGGAGGGTGCCATCTCATATCATTGCTATATTCCTTTTACTGTCTAGTCTTTTTGAATATTGAAATGCTTTGCAATTCAATGTAATGGGCTTTGCAATAAAGGGATATTGAACTAGGGATAAAGCCCCCAAGTTAAAGTCTGCAAGCATAAGATGGTTTAGGATAAAAAATTTTCTATAGTGTGGGGAAGACGAATTGGAGGAGAAAGAAAGTGAGAGAGGAGGGGATCCTGGAGGTTTCCAAAATCACCTACAACAGAGAAGGTTTTCCTCCGAGGTTACCTTGTTTTTAATGTGACACAAAAGGAAGGATTGTGTGCTGGTTCAGTGTGAGAGTGCGTCAGAGATCACAGGCGTGAAGGAAGGAGAGGAGCTCATTAAATGTTAGAAATATGTGTCTTCTGTTACTAATGATCAGGTAACCTAATCATTTGAGGAAACATTGAAAATTATAGTTGTAGGCCTTGTTGTGGGCTTAAAAATTGTGTAAATGTGATGGCAAGAAACATCTTCATGATCCACTGCTTTAAGGATGTGGTTGATGTTTTTATTGTACAGGAGATTGGACTGCAGACTTTTGTTGTGAACTATGTTCCCCACACATTTTGATTTCCTGTTTTGTATTGTGAGACCAAGTCTCACTAAGTTGTCCAGTAAACTTTCTGTCCTGTGTCGGTCTTCTGGATGGCCGAGATGGCAGACATGTCCTACCTTGCCAGGCAAAAGTGTAGCTTTTTTTTTTTTTCCTCGTTAATTCCAACCAGGATTACAGTGCTTGGGCAAAGAAAACCTCAGTCAAACGTGGTGGCGCCACCTTATGGCAGCCACGTGAGATTCTGAGACTGGCGTATTGCAGCATCAAGCCCTCCCTAAGTAGCTGCGCAAGGCCTTATCCAAACAGAAAAGAAAAATGTTGCAGATGTTTCTCCGATCTGAATAATTTGTCTAACATACATTATGCCCTTAGTTTAATTTCCAGTACTGAGGAATAAAAGACAAAGTCATAAGAATGCAGTGGAGCCTAGTCTGACTTTTGAATTTATAATTTTTTCACACCAGTGTTGTATGGTACAGTACCTGCTGGAAGGTCTGGGCACCAGCAGAGTCACTGTTCTGTCATGAACAGGTGACTGTTCAAGGGACAATGGCCAGGGATGGCAGTTCACCCTATTCAATGGGGGCCAGTCATGGCCCACTGGCGTTTGACATTTGAAAAATAACTTCTTCCTCTACATTTAAGGCCTTGATACAATCTATGTAACATTTGTTCCTTTTTAAGGACTCTGTTAAGCTTGTTTGTTCTTTGACCCTGGATGGGAGGAACTCAGGAACTCGAAGACATAGCCGGAGATCTGATGTTATCTGTAAGAGTCAGGAAATCCGGTCTTTGCATAAGATAAAAATAATTGCTTGGTGCTTCCTGTTGATGTGCCTTTAAAGAGAGCTGTTTCTGTAAAATAAATTAGACTTCTTTGGTCTCCACTCAGGCTTGAGTGTTCTTTCCTTTCTTAATGCTCACTCTCCAACTCAGGCTATTTCGTGTTGTGATGGCTGGACCGCCACAGTGCATAAGATCTTTATGATCTCACAATGAAATAGGCTTTGGTTACAGAAATTTTCCTGGCGAGAGCTCAAGGATATTATGGTGAGTAGATTTAAAGGTGGCAAGGATTAGCATTATAATTTGGAAGATTGGGCATATTCAGTACATTTTCAATGCCTTTTATTTCTCCCCTTGGATTTATCAAGACATTTTATCTTGCTAATTTAAACAGCATTTGTAGACTCATTCAACTCTGGTTGAAGTGCTTTTCTTCAGAATGTGAAACAGTAGATTGTTTCTTGTGCTGAGTTTGGCGTTAATGCTATTTTTCTGAGAGACTAACTGGGGCGATATTATGAGTAACGTATGGATGAGGGGGGTCTAATCAGGGTTTTGTTTTGCTCTGGTGTGATTTGATTATTTTCTTGTATTATGGAGAGATGCTCCACTGTAATACCATCTGGATTGCCTCACCAGAAGGGGATTGGATAGAAGTAGTCCACGAACAGACACAAGACTGTAACTTTGACCGAAAGATACCAAGCTTTAGCAATGCTAAAAAAAGCAAAAACCAACTACATTTTTTTTTTAAGTTTTAATTTTTGCTGATTCTGGCTACCCTTCTGTCTTACCCTTGTAGCAAAGATCTGGCTTTTTATTCTAGGTTTCTTTGCTGCCTCTTCTTTACCCTTCGCGGGCTGAAGACAGGTCTTCCTGGTGCTGTCACCTCTAAGACTGGCTTGTCACTCCTTTGCAGTGACATATCTCTCTGAGGAAAGAGCTGACTCCGAGCCTTTGTTATGTGTTTCATAACTGACCGGAGACTGCAGTCCTCGAAATCCCACTGAGGCCTGCTGCATCCCCACACTCTGGGTGCCCCTCCTTCTTTATATGGTTGGCAAAGGGTTTGTCACTTTTGTTTGTTACTTTGAAGAACCAACTCTTGGCTTCATTGATTTTTTTGTATCATTCTTTTAGTCTCCACTGCACTGATTTGTGCTCTGATTTTTACAATATATTCCCTTGTATGAGCTTTGGGTTTTTCCTCCTCTTCTTTTTCTAGAAGCTTGAGGTTCAGCATCAGGTTGTTTCATTGCAGTTGCTCTGTTTTCCTAATATGCACGTTGAGTGCTATGAATTTCCCTTGTCAGACTGCTGAGAAGAATGTGTATTCTGGTGATGTAGAGAGGAACACTGTGTAGATATCTGAAAAGTCCGTTTGTTCGGAGGTTTCATTCTGGTATTCTTTGTTCTCATATTTCTTTGTTGATTGTCTAGTTGATTTTTCCATTCGTGGCAGTGGAGTATTGAGGTCCCCCATTACAATTGTATTAGTGCTTATCTGATGTTTCCTATCCATTATTGTTTGTTTTACACAGTTTGATACACCAGTATGTGGTGCCTCTATATTTATGATTGCTATGTCTTTCTCTTGGGTCGTTCTATTAACAGTATGTAGTGACACTCTCTGTCTCTTTGGATCAGTCTTGGCTTGAAATCCACTTTGTCCGCAAGTGGAACAGCTAGCTTCCCTTCCTTTTTTCTGCGTTCCTCTTGGATGCAGTATTGTTTTTCACTCCTTGACCTTCAGTCGACACACTGACTCAGGCAGGCACAACTGGCTGGTCGGACTTGGCTGTCCCTGTCTGTTTTTCCTCCCACCTTGAGAGGCTTGAGGGATTCCTCAGCCTTTGGTTAGCAATGGTGAGGATGCTGCAGGGATGCGGTGTTCTCTGTGTCTGCAGAGGGGTTACGGGGAGAAGGGGCCCAGAAACCCAGGATCTGTGCCGGGAAAGTAGTCTCTGCTGCACTCTTGGCTCCCTCCGTCTAGATGGGGGGTTCTGGAGATGGCTACTCCTTGCTGTTTGGTTTTAAAATTTGAAGTCATTGTTTTAGTGCACGCTTTCATTGTTTTAAATCTCTCCAGAAGTACCCCCTCAAAGTAGTTGGCTTTATGCTTTATTAGTATATGTTTGCAGCACATAAAGATTCTATTCTTCATGGGGAGTCGGCACATGAACATAGCACATCTTAAATCCCTTCCTCTCACTTGGACCACTCCTCTTCTTGGTCCCATTCTCTTTTGCAAAAGATCTGTGTCACTCTTTTTGTTATCAAAAACAACTTTATATCTTATGAGACCTTTCATTTGATACATGTCATTAAAATGTGTAATTTAACCTGTAATTCTGAAGATTTTTTCCAAGTATGTTTGTGCTACTGGTGTCTAGTTTCATTCCAACATTTTGTGAAAACTTATTTCACATTATTTCCCTTTAGAATTAAGGTCTTGTTGCTCTGAAAATGGTCTACGTTGTTGGCTAGTTCTTGTGATTTTTAATTTTTAAGGAGAGTGTGTACTCAACAGTTACTGGATGAAGTATTTTGAAATACCTAATGAGTCCACTTGGAGGATGAGATTGTTGACTTTAATTACAATTACAGATTTTTTTAACCTCTGAGTTACTCAAGCAAGTGTTTTGAAATCTTCAAAAATAATTATAGGTATCTGATTTTTCCCTTCAGTTTC